CGAGCTTGTTGCCGTCACCAGCGGCGTCTCTGTCTTAGGCCTTGCGGTGGTGAATCAGCTCCTGCAGCGTGGATATTCCGTTCGGATCGTCCTCGATAATCCAGGTTAGCTTTCATCGGAAGTTCTTTTTTCAGGTTTGGTGATATATATATATATATAGTTGGTGATATATATATATTTATATATTTGTTTACTGAGAATCGTCCGAATTTTTAGTGCTTATCTCTTGATTTTCTCCTATTTACTTGGATCTTTCCAGATTAGTCTCTGTTTTCCTTCTCATTTTTTGTCGCTATCAAATCGAGAAAGAGCGCGTTGCATTTTCGGGAATCTTTTTCCTATTCACGCATCTGTTTCAGTGACATTGACGATAATCAGAATCGTTCGATTTTTTGAATACCTAACTCTTGATTTTCTCTTATTTTACTTTGATTTTTCCAGATTAGTCTCTGTTTTCCTTCTCATTTTTTGTCGCTAACAAATCAAGAAAAAGCACGTTGCATTTTGGGGAATCTTCTTCGTATTTCGCTCATCTGTTTTAGTGACATTGATGATACTGAGAATCGTTCGATTTTTTAATGCCTAACTCTTGATTTTCTCCTATTTTACTTTGATTTTTCCAGATTAGTCTCTGTTTTCCTTCTCATTTTTTGTCGCTAACAAATCAAGAAAAAGCACGTTGCATTTCCGGGAATCTTCTTCGTATTTCACGCATCTGTTTCAGTGACATTGATGATACTGAGAATCGTTCGATTTTTGAATGCCTAACTCTTGATTTTCTCCCATTTACTTCAATTTTTCCAGATTAGTCTCCGTTTTCCTTCTCATTAACAAACAAGAAAAGCACATTGAATGTCTGGAATCTTCTTCCTATTTCACACATCTGTTGTGTTTTTTCAAAACATCAAAACAACGATTTTGAATTCATACCTTTAATTTAATTTCCGGAAATAGAAGCCGTTTCCAAGTGAGATAGAGAAGAAAGATAGGACACTACTCTTACTTCTTTTGATCAACATGTTCACATGTGACTTTTTTTTTAATCGAACATTATAGTAATTGATTTACAAGTACGATCAAAGATTTATTTGATGTGGCGCAGGAATTAACTGGGATTCTTTTTTTTTTAATAGGCTCAAGTTTGAAACTCATTTTCAAAATAGCCCGCAAACTTATTTTTAAAAAATATAAAATTAATCTTCTATGCTAAAATATAAAAGAATTACTAATTCTAAAAAATAAAATACAGTAATTACTATACATTAGTAGTTATTGTATTAATAATTCAAAAATTCTATTTAATAATTATTATTTTATTTTATTTTTTAAAATTAATAATTGTTTTGTTTTAATAATATAAGATAAATTTTAATAATCAACATTTATTCAAATTTGTTTAAAAGAAAAGATATATTTTAGGAGAGAATATAAATTACATTATATATTTTTTATAAAAATTATTTTATATCAGGAAATAAAATAAAATTTTAATGAGTAACATTTACTAAATTTGTTTAAAATAAAAAGAAAATAATATAGCATTCTACTTCTTAAAAAGGAAAAGAAAAATAAAAAAAATATATGAAATTATGGCGACTTAAAAGTACCCTTGCACTCTAGAATAAAAGACAACTACCTACCACCCACCCAGCTATATTTGTTAAAATAAAAAAAAAAATAAAAAAAGATACGTCGTCTCTCAAATTTATGATCTGATTGGTGGAGAGGTGACATGCTGCTGATTTTATAATATATATATATATATATATAAAAGAAGTGCCACAGAGGTCAGTCTCTTTGAGTGACTGTTCTTTGACTGTCTCCTCGCGGTAGAGAAGTTTTTTGGAGTATTGTTTTTTTAATAGGTTTTGGATGGTATTATTTTGAAAAAATAAGTTTCCAAAAACTAACATTATTGAAGAGTATTATTTCCTAGGGTTGTTTGTTTTACGCACAGAGACATACCTCAATTCCACCTTGTTAATGACAACGGTATTCCAAATATCTTGAGTATCTCTACAATTGTATGATATTGTCCGTTTTGGGCATAGCCGTCGGCCATGTCTTTGATTTCACCCAAAAGACCTCATACCAATGTAGATAAGTATGTTTGCAATCACCTTGATAAGTATGTTTGCAATCACCTTACCAACCCAATAAAATTTTATGGAAAATTTCATAGACATGAAGAATTAAATGGGTGGATGAGGATAGAAAAGACTTCCGTCTTTGTCTCGTAAAAATTTCTATTCATACCACAACTTAAATTATCTATTTKTGAGAAATAGGAAGACAATTTTATAAAAAAATTAGCTAATAAATTAGGAAAATACTTAAATAATATTGGATGATTATTTAATCCATATTTTGTTGATCACCATTGAAATTTTAATGAGGTATGAGAGAAAAATAAAGAAAGAAATATTTTTTTATGTTTTTCAAAAGAAAAAAAGAATACTGTTAAATTTTTAATAATGGTCAATATATAAATATTTTTATTTTTAAAATTAGAAAAAAAAAAGCTTTCTAGACTAGAAACTAATAATTAGTAGTAGTTATACTTCAATGACAACCACCCCACACTTAATTAGTGAATTAAGGTTTATTAATTCAACTATCAAACTTTATGTAAAAGTTTTTTTTTTTTTTTTGAGAAAAATATGTAAAAGCTATTACAACAGAGTAAAATTATATTCTTTTAACTTTAAGTAAGCTCATATATACTCTTTTTAACTCTTATTTTTAGTGGATGAATCAACTTAATTTATCATATTGAACCTTAAATAAAAAAAATAAAAAAGAAGTTAATTCAATACCTCTAAAATACCAAATTATAAAAATTATAAAAGAAGTTTAACCAATAATTACACAAAATTGAACCAACAAATTACTCAAACTTGAGACATAAGTCTAAAATTCAACCGCAAAGCATGATTTTATTATTGTTATTATTATTTTTTGTCAAAAAAAAAAAAAGAAAACATCCTAACTGAACTAATAGAATGATGGCCATTCTTTGGAGGCTTTTCTGCCATGTTGATAGGCCTGGGCTACCATTTACGAGGTGAATGAGCAATAACTACTGACATAATTATAGAAGAAGGGAACATCACTAGCAATTATTTAGGCGTCGCAGTTACTTGTCCCACAGCAGTAATTAAATTAAAAATTAATAATAATAATAATAGCCCAAACCTAAGTACCAGACTCCCAAATATTTTAAAAAGGAAAACCACACCACCAAAAATATTAAACTCATACCTAAAAAAAAAAAGAAGAAGAAAGAAGGAAATTTTTATCTTTCTCCTTGGTGTGGGATGTTATGTGTTTTCTTTTTTCTTTTTTCTTTTTTTTTTAATTTATGTTCGTAATTGTATTACTTTCCTCCATGATTATTATTATTTTTAATATAATAAATATTATGGTGGAGATTTAAACCTCCAATTTTATAGAGTAAATGTCTTTACTATATAACTATACTTATATTGACAATTTTATGGTTAAGCAAGTTAGATGTAAAATATACTTCCCCGCACATTTTAATGAATATATGAAAGTAGATGAAAATTTAATATCTTATATCATGATTTGCACGTGAAAATGATGCAGAAGACATTGAAAAAGTGAGGGAGATGGAATCCGAAGCAGGAGGAGTTGGCGTTAAAGTGTCGACAGTGGCGGCTAAGTTGAGGGAGGGCGATGGGTTGGCCTTAGCCATTGCTTTCGAAGGCTGTCGCGGCGTCTTCCACACCTCTTCTTTCATCGACCCTGCTGGCCTTACTGGCTACTCGGTATGCCATCTCTTTCTTCCCCTACTTTTAATCTTAGTTTATTTTAATTTTCGTATTTTTGAAATGTTCGTTTTGGTCTCTGTAATTGATAAGTGGTCATTTTGATATTTAATTGTCTAGTTCTACATATTAGTTAGAATCATTGTTACATTTCAATAAATATATTGAGCATAATGTCATGTTGAAATTGTGAAAGAAAAAATAAAATTGAAAATAAAATTAAGAAATCAAAATAATCTATTTTAAAAAATAGGGAGAGAAAATAGAAAGACTAAAATAAAATGTAGTTAAAAGTACAAGACTAAAATAATAAATATTTTGAAAATACATCACTCAAACTTAATATAAATTGAAAGTTTCGGACCAAAAGTAATGAGATCAAAGAGAATTACGATGAAAATTGATTGAGAAAACGTTCCATTTTTATCCAGAATCTAGCAGTGAAAAAAAACTTTCAGTTTCATCCCATTATTTTAGGTTTAGGAAACACTTTGTTCAGTGTACTTTTATTGATAACTAACAATTTAGTTAAAATCTACAATGATTTTTTCTCTATCATTGTTAAGATTTTAAGATTTAATAAGGTATTTTATATATGTAGAATAATAAACTAATGAAAAACTAAATATATTTGTAAATTTCAAAGAATAAATCGGCGTATAACATAAATCGATACTTAAATTTGATGATGTTTTTCAAGGTAGGAACTATGTTACAAATTTTTAATTATAGGGACTATGCTACCAAAGTATAGTGATTAAATCATTAAACTAAAGTCCAAGGTCTTAATTTGTTATTTTGGTGAAAGTACGAGGATCAAGAGTGTTTTTTAACAATTTTTTTTACTTTATACTAGAATTTTGTTTGAAGTAATTATTTCAAAAAGTATTCTAATGCAATTTCAATAAATTAGAAAATTTGGGATTTGCTACGAATTTGTGAAATTTAGAGGAAGAAAAAAAGTCATCTAATTCATCCTCTAAATTAAGGAATGAGTAGAAATTTTGGAAGTTTTTCCTCTTGACAAATTTTATTCTCATATAAATTTCCACAATACACACAGTATTGCATCATCAACCAATTTTTCAGCCATGGTGAGAGTCTAAATTAGAAAATTTGGACTTAATTGGAATATTTGAAACCGGAAAAAAAGTTTCTCAAACGTTAAGGAACAAAACATATATTTAACCAAATAAATTATATTTACTCCTTGACGTGTCAGTAGGGACTCCTATTAAAATTCTGAAAATTATTTATTTGTTTCTTTTTTCCTGTGGAAAAGTGAAAAAAAAAAAAAAAACTATACTCTCTCCCCTTTTTTCTTCTTCCATTTGTCAATAATTGTAAAATAATCAGGTCGTCTAGTTAATACATACTCAAAAAGATTTGAGATTTGAATCCTTACTTTAACTCAAAATAGAATGGTAATCAGCCTAAGATTCGTCAGTCCCACATTTTAATTTTAATATCAGAGAGCTGTTATTCATTTCACTTTAAAACATTAACTCTAATCATTCTTTTTCTTTTTAATAAAAAGGTAACTCTTAAAACTCAACCGAATATTTTTTAACCAATGTGACTCTCCAACATTATTGATATAAAATATCATATCATAGAACTTATTCTTAACTTCTATAATTAACTTACAATAATATTCTTCACTAATGACATTAATATATAGATGCSAACATAAACGTAGTTCAATAGATGGACATATGTACCCCAAGGCGTTGGCATAGTGGCAAGAGGTCTAGGTGTTGACATCCAAGATCTAGGTTCGAACCTTCCTGTGTCGAGAAATAAAAAACGGAAAGATTTTTAAATACATAAGATGAAATTAAAACAAAAGTTAAAAGATGTCGAGATGAAATAGTAATTTGAAAGCAAAAGAATAAAGTGAAACATTTGGTAATGATATGAAATGGAATAAATTAATGAATTTTAGTTTGTTCTAAACACATTTTAATTAGTTTCCGTTTTAATCTGATCTAACCTTGTCCTCTCCTAATGCTAAAAGAAAGCCATGGTGGAGGTAGAAGAGAAGGTGAGTGAGAATGTTGTGGAGGCCTGTGCAAGAACATCCTCAGTAAGATACTGTGTGTTTACCTCTTCACTTTTAGCCTGCATATGGCGCAGCGGTACCCGACCCGAGCTCCCACCGGTTGTCGATCACGACTGTTGGAGCGATCAATCGTTATGTGTTGACAAAAAAGTAAGTCGTTTACTAAAGAACTATGATCAAATGATTTGTGAACGTAGTTATTATAGTTACTTTGATGTTGTTCTAAATACTACAAAGTCGGGTGTGGATGGGGCTTAGGATGGTTTTGGCACAAGGGATGAAGGGTCAAACCTAAGTTTAATCGGAGAAACTCATAGTCGTGAAGGGTAAGTAGCACACTATTCAATTATTCCACACAGATTTCTTTAAATTTAAGTTTTCGAAATTCTCTATGTAAATCCCAAGTTTAAGATATCGAACTTGCACTCTAAACCACACTCTAAAGATCATTTTCTTCTCTCTAAGTTTTTTTTCTCTTTGTCGTCCCTCTCTTCTTTCTTGTCTTTTTGGTCAAATGGTTAAACATCCTCATGTCTAAGATGTCGAATCTGCACTCCAAACACCCTCTAAAAATTATTTTTTCTCTCTATCAAGTTTTTTCTCTTTGCTATCTCTCTTTTCTTTCTATTTTGAATAACTTGATCTATTTCATAAACATATAGAAAGTGAATATGAAAACACATCAAAACAATATGCATACAAGAGAAAAATGAGGAAATTTTTATCTTTGTACTTGGTGTGGAATATTATGTGTTCTTTTTCTTTTTTTGGTAAAAAATTTATGTTGGTAATTGTGTGGATTTGAAGTTATGGTATGCTCTGGGGAAGCTGAGGGCAGAGAAGGCAGCATGGAGAATTGCAAAAGAAAGAGATTTAAAGCTGGTCACCATCTGTCCTGGCTTCGTTACTTCTCCTAACCTTTCTATCAGAAACTCAACACCAACCATTGCTTATCTCAAAGGTAAAATACAATTTTGATCTCGGGTATCTATTTGGTTCTTCATGTTTCAATAAAAATATTTTTAGTCAAATCTAGAAAAGTAGGTCAGTAAGATGAATCACATAACAATTGCAATGTTAATTTTTTTGTAAACTAAGTTCAAAGATCATTTAAAACAATTTTACCGAACCTAAATTCAAACATTAAACAAAGCACGGTAGCATCATTAACTTAGTTTGGCACCATACACTCATTTTGGACCAATTAAATTTTTTAAAAATATATAGCTAATACACTATGAAATGGTGAGAGCTTCGAAACTTTTTAGAATATAGAAACAAAATAGACACCAATTCTTGTATTTTAACCCAACGAACAATCTAATTTAGATCTAGCTTTGATGAACAATACAATTACTTAAAATCATAAATAAACATGATAAAAGTAGGCAACTTTTGCATCCCCTGACCTTAAAATCTAATTCAAGTTTTGGATCTTTCTCACTTCTAACCAAAAACAGGAGCCCCCGAAATGTTCGATCTCGGGATACTAGCGACAGTGAGCGTGCAGAGATTGGCAGAGGCACATGTGAATGTGTACGAGGCCATGGGAGAAAACAGGGCACATGGAAGATACATTTGCTTCGATCAAATAATCACAACACAGGCTGAGGCTGAGGATTTGGCCACAGAAATAGGAGTGGATGTGACCAAAATTTACCAATCCCAGGAAGCATCAACAAGTGGAAGTGCTTCTGGTAAGTTTCAATTGTCCAATAAAAGGCTTTTTAATCTCACTTCTGCCACAGCTCCTCCTTCTCGCTGCTGTTTTCAAACACACTTTTCAGATTAAAACAAAACTAATAAAATGGATGGTAATTAAGACAAATTTTGTGTTGGAAGTAGACACAAACTTGTAGTTTTAAGCTTTCGGGCTGTAATAATTGCTGAGTATTGAATTCTGTCTATTTAGGACTACAAAAGAATTATGTTTCAATATAAAGTCCTGTTTACCCGTAATCCTAATAAAAAAATCATACTTCTTTAAAGAAAAAAAATAAAGAATATAAATTAATGTAAAATCAAATAGTGGGACCCACGGTCAAATTTTGTAATCATACCATTTTATTTTACAATATTATAAATTTATATTAATTAATATGAATAGATTTTTTCAAATAGAAATTTTTATTTTTAAATATTAGAATAATAAAATTTAATAATATGGTTATATTAAATTATGGTTCAAATAAAAAATACTTTATTTGATATAATTTTATTTTAATTATTCATTATTTATTTGATGTAATTTTATTTTATTTATTCATTATTTATTAATATTAAATAAAAACTATTCATATCAATTATGGTAAGTAAAAAAAATTAGTACAATAATATATTTATAATTAATTAAAAAGAAAAAATTGATATACCAGTAATTGTTATATACCTTATTCCTAAACAGGATCTAAATTTGACCAAGCATGGATGGAAATCTCAAGGTGTGAGAGAGTAATGTAGATATAATTTTGGAAAGATTATAAAAATACAAATTTATAAAAATATTTAAATTAACAAATAATCATTTTATTATTTTTTTAAAAATTAAAGTTTTGGTATTATTAATATAATGTTCAAATTAATTTTAAATATTTTGTTGATTTCGTGCAATGCCCATAATGGAGGTCAAATTCAATGGTTTGATGTCCATTACCTGGTCTCTAATCTTTGTGATTATAATTTTGAACAACATTTTTTGTTAATGCACTTCTCAACAGATACCAAAGATTTAATTTCATGGCTACAAAGTCCAATCATGTACCATAAATATTAAACTATTAAATAGAAAAAAAAACTAAAGAATTTTGATATATATTTACTGATTAATTTTGTATTGTCAAATGGCAAAAATCTTAACAAAGGAAAAGTAAAAGATTTGAAAAACCAGRTCATTTGAGCTCAGAATTTTAGGTCCATCAAAAAAATCCATAATCAACATTTCGTTACTCTCTAATCAAATAATTTTCAACGCCATTTATAAACCATAAAAAAAAAAGGAAAATGCCTAAAACTCACAATTTTTTTACCAAAAACACCGACTTCCGATGGCAATCGCCGCCGTCCGCCACCACTTTGGACCTCTCCTGCGTGGGAATGGCGGCTCCGCCATACTTTTGGCCGGACGGCGACGAATGAAACGAGAAGCTATTTCAAAAATTCAGATCGGACAATAATCAAAGAGAAAAAACATAATGTAAAAAGCTCAGAGAGTTGCTGAATCTGCTCAAAGAAGAGCGATCTTTTCAGAAAGCACTTCTCATACAAGAGGTGTCAGAATATAAAGCAATCATCATCCTCGCTGAAATCAAAATAAATAAAGAAAACAGAAAGAAAGAAGACGGCGGAAGAAAACAATTTCGCCGTAGAGCGGCGGCGCCAAATTAGGGTTTCGGAATTTCCTTTCAGTGCCATCGATTACGATGTGGAAGGAGAGACTTCTCTAGGGTTTTTATAGCTTCATGTTTGGGCCTCTCATCATTATTGGGCTGCTCAGGGCCCAAATAATCAGTATACATAACATATAATTTTTTCTTTTTTCTTTTTCTAACTCTCTTCTTTTAAATTATACACTTTTGAAAAATTAATTAGAAATTTACTCACTTTGGTCATAAGTTTCAAATTGATTTTTATTTTAATTTCATATCTATATTTTAAAATTTTTAATTTGATATTTATAATTTGATTAAACTTCACAAATTATTCATAAATCATTTTTTTAACCACCTAAAAACCCACATAATGTTTTTTATTCTTTACTCAACTTCAAAACCTAATACGACTAATTGACACAATCAACCAAATAAAAACATCAGCTCATTGTTACATGAAAATATATTATGTCATAAATTCAATACGGTAATAATAAAAATATYTTTTTGAGGYATGCCCAAATCTCAAGAACTGAATTGAAACTTCTAAAGGTAWAGAAATTAAATTAAAACTAAGTCTAAGACTCAAATCATATGGATCAAATTGAAACATATAAATCGTAGTGGGTCCAAATCAAATTGCAACTAAGTTCGAACAATGAGGACAAAATTTGTAATTTAATCAATCCTTTTAATTAGTCATTCTTCTTTGGCACATACGGTACAGATTGGAGATATTTGGCCCGCAAAATTCTTTCTTTTTGAACTCACGAAACCAATTTTGAGTACTTTTGATAGGAAGTTAACAACGAGTGTGTATGGACTTTTAGTTTAATGTTTCTATTCAGCGAATGTGATTATTGGCAAGAACCTATTAAATCCATCATTTGGRCTCATAATAAATTAAAAGTTGMTCCTGCTACTCAACCTGGAGCCTTGAGCATTGTYTAATGACGCGGTAGGAGTAACCCATTACATTCTGGGAGGAGAAAAGATGGGTGGTATTCATATACTAAGGGACAAAACTGTCCACTTTCTCCATCCCCTCAATCAAGGGGGAGGGATATAGAAATGATGAAGCAATGAAAGAAGAACAAAACAATATGTTTTTTTAGGGTAAAAATTAATACTTAAGTGATATTTTTTTCAACTATTATAATATGTTGGGACTGGTGGAGTCAAATCGACGTCGAAAAKWGCTAGGAATGAGTCGGGATCAAGTCGGGACGCTTCGAGACGAAGTATAAATGAAAACAGGTGAAACGAGGCCTTGCAAGCCAGGAGGGTCGAAGCTGTAGCGCCGTGGCACTRTCAAGATGGGCGTAGGCAGTTTTTCGTTCCATCCGTGGCACTATAGTGGCACTATAACAATGTCTATAAATCCAGAGTTTCAGGCTTTAGGGTTTCTAGCGGCTCAAGTGTTGGCTTCACAAATTGGGGAGATCAAGATCATCATTGTTCAGGGTATTGTATCTTGATCCTTGTGAGTSTTTTAAATTACCACATCTGAGTGAAGATAGAACGTAACCCTTATTGGTGAACCAGTATAATTTTTCTATGTCGCATTCTYGTGTTTTACAGTTTCTTCCTTTTTTGCATATTGTAGTGTGTATTTGAATATTTTTGTGCGAGGAGAAATTATTTGTAGCGCATTAATTTTCCAACATAATATAAATGYGAAGYTCGAGATTCTAATTTTCTTGATTAAGAAGGTTATCAATATTTTATCTGATTGAGTTATGCGTGAYGGTGAATTCAAAATATAAGTGGACAGGTTATGTTTAGAAACTTTATCCATGAAATTCGAACTTAAATCAAAYCTAAACCTAAACTCTATCTACAAAACATCTTTTGTTTTTTGCATCTCATTGGTTTTATCGGAGAATTTTTTTTAGCTTTCCAAAAAATAGCTTAGTAGTCACATTAACTATACTTGAAGATGATCTTAGGCACAAACATTTTCCATTCGACTATATAATCATGTTCTACTTTTACAAATCACTCGATAATAATTCCTAAAAACAATATTGCATAAATAGTTTCAGAAATTATCTTTCTTACTCTAGCAATGTTACTAATAAATAAAGGAGTTGTTTGAAAGTAACTTTGTTTTTTCAGTTATTTTTCTTAATAGCATTATTTTAAAATTGTTACGAAAAACAACACAATTTTCCAAACAACTCCAAAATTTCCTCTACAATAAACTTCTTCCAACTCTCAAATCTTCCTTTATACTCAGCGAAAAAAAAGGGTTAGTTAATAATCCAACAAGTTAAAAAAAAAAAAAAATTAGAGGGAGTTTAAAAATCGCACAAAATAAATATGTATTTTTAAAAAAATTTTACAAAAATGTCCTAAATGACAAACTTATACAATTTACATAAGACCAACCAAAAACTACTTTTGTGACTCTTTTTTAAGAAATAATAATAATAAGTGATGATATTTTTTAAAAATACATATTTTTTATAATTTTCCTAAAAATAATTATACCGATTTCTAATGAGTCCCCCTCTTAGAATATAGACTAACTTTTACCAATTGTGAACTAATAAAACAAATATAGGTTATGAAAATACAAGCCTTTTGGATTAGACATACATTTTAGGATAAAAAATAAATAAAAGCTAGATCAACCTTGTTCAAGCATTCTTAAACCATGCAAAACGCTTCTTTGACCGTTTTTGTGAAGTTATAATTTTTGTTGTTGTTACATGGTGTAAATGTCATTACTATAACTTTTCTTCTCTTGTACCCAACCGGAGAAGTTTTTTGCAACTCCCTGGAGTTTTACCCTCTAGAAAAAGAAAAGAAGAAAAACCTTACGTCGATATGTCGATTTGCTTGTCTAATGATAACGGTTTGTAAATCCAATGAGTCAAAAAACAATCTATTGACATTAATTAGAATTCACAACAAAGCTATAGTAGTTTAAAAAATCCAACCTAAGAAATTGTAACCCATTGAATCAAAAATATAGGTTATCCAAACACAAACATAAATCTATATTATAGATATCAAATACAAGTTACACAAATTCATATTTCTCTTTATCAGACCAAATACAGTCTCCAAACCCGTGAACCAAATACCTTTAGAATGCCTGTTCTTCCTCATACAAACTACTCAAGAAACTGTGAACTACAATATTTAACAAATCAAAGTCCAAGTTTGAAATTTTGGATTTGCCCAAACTATGTTTTCTTCTACTTTTAGTTGCATAGTTTTCTATGACAAAAGAAAAAAAATTTGGATTGGGTGGGTAAATCAATCATAGTCTCAACCTATATGAGGCAATGAAAATCAACCAATTACTACAATGAAAACAAAAATGATCGAGAACGGAATTGAAGATAAAGATTAATAGCATGGTTTGGCTCATAGTTAAATAAACTTCGGTTTAGGAATTAGAAAAAAAAAAACTTCAGTTTTTGCAACTTGTGTTTGGCTCATGGGTTCATGATTTTGTAAAATCTAGTACAAAGTTCAAGGTATAGAATGTGGGTTTTACAAACATAGATTTATATAGCCGTAAGATCAACAAACTCATAATTTAGCATGAGTAAATTACATATCAAACATAAGTTCAGCTCTCCCTTACATAAGTCAAGTATGTGGCCATAGATTTCAAACTTCAAAGCATAAACATACAGATAGATCAGCAAAATGACAACAAGAAGAAGTGTAGTGTAGTATTGGCCAAAGTTTGTTCATTCAGATCCACTTTTAAGTTATAGAAGTTCAGACCAAAAGTGAATTCATGGGCACAGCAAAGCTTCTTGTTGGCATTTTAACAAACACGTTATGAGCAAGAAAAATAAACTGAAAAGGGCATCTAAACACAGCTTCAGAAATGGCGAATTGAGCGCTCAAATTCAGGAAAAATAAGGCATCCATGAACAGAACTTCCAACTAAATTCATCATCAGTTAACAATTGAAAAAATAACCCATCTCCAATTTCACCAGAATGCCTACATTCTAAAGCTTGAATTCGAGAAACTAACCAGCCAATTAAACAATGGCAATCTTCGCCCCAGCCTCTTCGAGCTGCTTCTTCGCGTCCTCCGCCTCTTCCTTCGAAATCCCTTCTTTAAACTTCTTCGGCAAACCTTCAATCAGCTCCTTCGCCTCCTTCAACGCCAAGCTCGTCAAAGCCCTAACAGCCTTAATCACAGCGATCCTCGCATTACTCGGCACATCCTCAATAACAACATCGAACTCCGTCTTCTCCTCGACGGCGGCGGCTGCGACGTCTCCGCCGGCACCAGCGCCGGGCGCGACGGCGACGGCGGCAGGGGCGAACGCGGCGGCCGAAACGCCGAGCTTCTCCTGGAGGTAGTCAACCAGAATCCGAGCCTCTTCAAGCGTCAATTTGGAGATAACATCGCCGATTTCTACAACTTTCTCCGGCGCGGCCGCGGCGGAGACTGGACGGAGATGAACGAGGCGATGAGAGAGATTGTTGGAGGAGGGAGAAAATGGGAAATGGAGAGAGAAGGGTCTTGGGGACTGAGAAAAATTTGATGGATAAGAGGACGAAGAACAAGATGGGGAGCGGAGAGAAGCTGTAGAGAGAGTGGAAGCCATTTTCTTTTTTCTAGAGAGAGAATTGGGAGAAGAAGAAGAAGATAGGATAAAGTTCGCAGAATTGTGATCTAAAGAAATGAAAGGTGAGTTTTGAATTCTATTTTGGACGAAACTACCCCTGCCTTTTCATAAGGAACAAGGTGTTTGAATCAGGGGTATTGATGGTATAAAAAACTGGCCCTGAGAATTTTGTTAAATAATAAAAAAGGAAAAAGGAATTCGCTGTGGACGGAAATACCCCTGTCTTTTTACGATATGACGACGGGTAAGTAAAGAACAAGGTGTTCGAATCAGGGGTATTTATGGTATAAAAAGGGGCATTGAGAATTTTGTTAAATAAATAGAAAAGAAAAAAATGAAAAGGGGCATTCCGAGAATCGAACTCGGGACCTCTCGCACCCAAAGCGAGAATCATACCACTAGACCAAATGCCCTTTTAGAATTAAATTTTAATTACAAACTTTATATTATTTATAACATTGCTGGGCCGACCAATTGGGCCTAATTCTAATTTTGGTGTGGATCCAATTGAGGCCCAAGTTTGAGACTCAATTCTGTAAAATATAAAATATTTCAATTTATTTTTTTGATAAGTATATAACTAGCCTATTTTGAGTTTCAAATTACAAAAATAGCTTAACTATTAAGAATTTACACAATTGTCTTAGCTSTTTATGGATGGAACTCATTATAAAATTACAAATTTCTCCTCTACAATATAGAATTAATAAAAATATAAACACAAAATCAAAAAATGGAAAAAAAATCAATATTGTACGGGTTTGATACAAATCCTTAAAATCATGCATAGATTTAACAATTCAATTGAAATCCTCAAATCCCTAAAATCATGCCTAGATTTAATAATTCCCTTTATTCGTCTTAACAGTTTTGAGGAAAAGAGATGTTCTTCGATCTTCAGAGCACTCGAGCGGTGCGACTCCATGGTAGAAGCACTCAAACGGCCCAGACTCCATGGTAGAAGCACTCAAACGGCCCACGACAGAAGCTCACGAGTAGCGGTGATCCCATGGTAGAAGCTCACGAACGCCTTGCAGGGACAATCCACAAACACCGGGAACTCGAACATACGCACACGCATACGGCTGACGACGATATTTGGAGGTGGGTTCATGGTCTACTAGTGCGCCACCGTCGAGATCGTCGCGGCAGTTGAAAATACAGGGGTAGAGGGGTGGATGACGGATTAGAGAAGAAGGAGGGAAAGGAAAAAGTCTAGGTTTCTATAATTTTTTTTAATTTTCTTTTCTCGTTCTTTTTTCAGGAAAAAAAARTTTATAACAAAGGTTATATATTATATAAAACCTCCAAATTTTATATTACTATATTATATAACCTTTTAGTACGAAAAACCTCTAAATTTGAGTATATGTTGAATATTTATGTTGGGTATATGTTAAGGTATGATGTTAATATGGATCAAATTTTGAATATGTCACGTATACTTCAAGTTATATATTATAAACTTAACATTGAATATATACCTAGAATATATTGATATCATACTATAAATTGGAATATATTATATAACTTAATAGTATATGTATCAATAAAAAGTATATATTATATAACCATGTTTATCGTACTATTGCAAACAAAGAAAAAAAGAGACATGAAAAAAAAGACCATGAAAAAAAGAGGTAAAAGAGATTCCATGATATAGAGCACTCCGTATATAGTTTATAGTTCATAAGTTATTGATTTTGGTTGATCGATTTTTTATCATGAAATCAACATTTATTGTTTATACTCGAATATAGTTTATATCTATGAATAAGTACCCGATATAGATTATATATGTTTGTRTCGTCTATTCGGATATAGAAGTGTATAATTTATAACTAGACTCATAAGTGCTGACATACACTATTATTATTTGAATTGATTATTTCCATAATCYCTTAACATTAAATACAAAAAGATTGGTATAATATATGTTAACAACTTAGTATAATATATCAATAAGTAAATTAAGGGATTATAAAATAAATGATTTGAGGCCACGATAATTAAAAGTTTAGAAAATCAAATTAGGGATTTAAATCTTTTACATTTAAATAAAAAAAAACTAACAAATAATAAATATAAATGCCACAAATAAGGGTAAAATCGACATTAATAAAAATTCCTAAATCTAGGAATCTAAAAATGTAAAATTGAAAAACCTAAGTTTTTAAAACATTTCCAAGGTATATTCTCTTTATTTATTTTTTTTTATGGGAGATTAAACATATACCTATAATTCAAGGGGACGTATAGGGTGCCAGCATAAAAAAAGAAATGAAGCTTCTGCGGATTTGAAGTCTAATTATGTGAGGTAGGAGGTAGGGATGTCTTCTCCATTCTTGTTGTTTGAGGGTAAATATGACTCGTTATGTGGAGAATAGAAAAAGCCTCGAAAAATTCTAATGGCCGACCTATTGAGCTTGACTAAAGAGGTATCTCAAATATCTCGATCCAATCGGAGATTCTTGGAAAAGACTAGACATAGAGGTACCTAACCCAACTGTCTTGGTCTAACATAACSATGTGCAGGTCCCACTTCATATCACTTATAAATAGTAGAATCATTTCGTACCAAGATATGTTATCTAATTCCTCGTCTGGAGAAAACATATCATATTCTCAATAATTTGAAATTGTTCGTAATCACCTATTCCTGCTATAACTTATAAAAACATTGAAAAAAAAGAGAGTTACGTCATTAAAAAATTATCATAAAAAAATTATTATTTATTTATATTTTTTGTCACGGTGAACTAAGGTCAGCATGGGGTTGATGGCGATAGTGGTGGCGATAGAAGGCGGGGGCATTAGAAGGGAGAGGGAGGAGGAGAGAAATTTTTTAAATTTTAAATGTCGCATCATCGTGAAATAATAATAAAAGATTAATTTTTTTTAATGCAACATATGAGGATGAGGAATTAAACTCACAATATATGTCAATTATAGCGGAACTATTCGTTTTGACAAAAAAAAAATAATAAAAATGTTTACCACGTAAACATTAAAAAATTATATATTAAATGTCTAATCAGYAACCGTTATTGTAGCTCATGAAAAATGTGAAGCTAGGACATTTTAAATTTTTTTTCTCAAAACTTAAGGGGACCAAACTCATATGGACTAAACAAGTGATTTTCTAAAAATTTTAATATAATAAGGCTTCACCATGGTGTGGCATATTGCTCGAGTGACTTTTCTAGACTCTCTAACTATATAAAAGTCTAAACTAGAGACGATRACTTGTGAAGAGATAAATTAACAGAAGAAGACAAAAAGGAAAAAAAACATGTCTCCCACCTTTTTTTGCCAGTAGAACTAGGCCTATTTAGCGAACGTATAAGTGGAGAGAATTCCATACTTRAGATAAATTATAMAAAAAAAATTGYAAAGTATATTCTTTTTTAGCTKAYTTTTRTTCGAGCAACTATTGAACTCAACTGAGCTATAAATTAGAGACCATCGACACCACTCACAGGGCGAGGATAAGGATAAGGACAAGGACAGGTACCATAAGTCCCATCCCCATCCCTAAAAACAAAATTATAGTGTAGAAAAATCCCTCCTCGCGATTCCTATCCCTAAACGAGATCAGTTCTCCATTTCATTTTGGGGTGGATCCCTGCAAAGAAAATTAATACCCGTATTTGAAATTTAAACTTGTAAGAAAAGATAATTTATCATTAAATGAAACAAGACATAAACTATTAATTTTCTACCAAACGCCTTTGAAAAGAAATAGATGGGAGCTTGCCTAATTCAAATACAATAAGCGTTAGCCTGAACATAGTTTAACTCATTAAGGCATCTTACCTCCAACCAAAAAAGTCGTAAATTCGAATTTCCACCGTCACAGGTTGTACTAAAAAAGTTCAAATACACTAGACCGATTAAGAGGGAAAAAGCTTTCAACTTTTTTCAATAAAACTCTCATAGTAATTAATTAAAAGAAATATTGCATTTAAATTCATCCATTATCAACATAATATGAGTTTAAGTAAAAACTATTTATAGAGTATATACTAAAATAAATGGTAGGTCGGGATATAGCTCTCATCCATTCTTGTTCTCTTATAGCTGATTCTTTTCATAACCAYAAGAATTCTTAATTAGACTGAGATTCCAACTCAACATACCTTTCGAGATTTTGAGGAGAGTTATTTACAATACGATAGAAACTTTTGTGAACTCGGTAGGTCGGGATATAGCTCTCCTCCATTCTTGTTCTCTTATAGCTGATTCTTTTCATAACCACAAGAATTCTTAATTAGACTGAGATTCCAACTCAACATACCTTTCGAGATTTTGAGGAGAGTTATTTACAATACGATAGAAACTTTTGTGAACTCTGTTCAACCCTCTTCAACATACTCTTATAATAAATATGAGATACAAATGTTTCAAATCTCATAACATATGATTGGTTTGACTGAATTATTATTTAATTTGACTGAAGTATTATTTAATAGTTGTGAGGAGTTTACAGTATAATAAGTTTTAAATTTTTTTGGTAAATTGGATTGATATGACACAATCCCTATTAAGTATCATGGGATGGGGCATGGTCCATCCATGATTCATGAATTGTCATTAAAATTTTCTTTCCATATATGCAATGCAATTAACATCTCCCAAGGACCATATGGTATGATATTTCATATTAATTATGCATATTGATTGGACTTTGAAATTTTTGTATACTTAACTCAAGGTAATATTTCCGTCTTTTATTTCTCGTTACTAAATTTTTAGAAACGTTTAAAATTTTTTTAAAGTAACAAAATCAATTTTTTTTGTTTCTTATTCATTTTTCAAAATATAGATAAAAATATTATTTTATCATTCCTTATAAAATGCACAATAAATATAAAGATTAAAAATAACATTAAAAATTTTGAATATCTAATTAAACAAATTAATTTTCTTATAAAACTTTTACTCTTTTAATTTAAAATTTAGAAAACAAGAAATTGCTATCAAATATATATATTTTTTCAATAAAAATAAACTACAGGAAATCATTAATAATTTTTTTGGATATCGACATCCAAGTCTTAATCTAAGTATTAAATTTTTGGATAAATAATAATAATAAACTGAGCTGTATAATATAGGAATTATATTTTTTTTTTTCACATGCCCAAATTTCCATCACCATTTTCATTATATAGTTAAAAAAATGGACGAATATGGAAATATATCATTAATGTCAGCATAATATTAATTTTTAGATTATTTTAAATAATTTTTTTATAAATTTCTCGATTATTATAATTTTAGAAAAAATATTCATCAATATAGCCATTACTGATATTCTCATATTTAAAAAAAATTGCAACTTCGACATTCCATCAACATTTAAACCTTGGGTCGTACTATGCATCTTAGCAATGAGAATTTGATGTATGAATTTGATTTTCAAAGTTCTAGAAGAAATGTTGTTTAATTTGAGGAATATGAAGCTATAATCTTTTTTCAACATATTCTCAAAAAAAAAAAATAATAATAAAAAATGAACCACTCTACTAATTGTAAAATAGAAAGATAATTGTTAGGATTATAAATTTAATGCTTTTAACATAAAAGCCTTTTAGGAAAAAAAAATCTAAAATAGAAAGATAATTCTTTATTTCAAAAAGGTAGTGACAAAATTTTTACCATAAATTAAACTAGAGTATATTTTGCAAATTTACTAAAACTATTCCAATCTACTTAGTAAAAAATAATAATAATAATAATAATAAACAAAAATAAATAAAAACAAAACTATTCCAATAATACATACACACATATAAAAGGACATGAACAAGGACATGAACGTACAACAACATGTGATGTAGAGAATTCAAAGTCATGACCTAATTCTGGTTAGGGATATACTCCTTTAACCAATTGAACTAATGTTCCTATGTTTACATGTTAAGAATATATTAAATAATTAAACTTATTTTAACCTATCAAATTTGAAATTCACCTCTGTAGCACAGTTTCCTCTTCTCCCTATAATAATAGGTCTATACATATTGGGAGTCATCTGATCATATTAGTATTATTAATTAGGAGGCTACACATGAGGGGAGTGTTAAAAGATTATATTAAAAAGCATTAATTTTATAATCCTAACAATCATCTTAAGCTTTCTAGCTTCATGACGATCTGGCACGGTACCGTACCAAAGCAAAAGATATCTCTGAGAGTCAATCAAAACCTCCAAATTTTTCTATAATAATATAATTCTCGTGGCTCTCGTGTGTCAGCGCCCGAGTCCACACACGTCGGGTAATTAACCGTACCTCATTTTCTTTTTAAAGCGCTCGGGGGAGAAAAAACCGAAGAATGCTAGCTAGGGTTGTTGTTTTCACTCCCTCCCCTCTCATATGGCCGACCCAACATGTGAAAGTCATTCAAATTTCACATGGGGTAGCAATTGCAATTGAATTGGTATGATCATTTTTTTTTCCTGAATTTTTCTTTGATATAAAGCACAAAAAACATGTGATGAAAAAGAAAAATGGGTGGCTAAGAAAAGAAGAGATATCCCTTTCTCAATGGCAAAGTCCCATAACAAAATGTCCATTTGTTTTCAAAAACTTTCTTATAAAAGATAGTGCATGAAACAACAAACTTCTCATTTAGGGCTCTTTTCCAATGTCCTTGTTTGAATAAGGAGTTGGATGCTAAAGTTGAGAGTTTGGTACTCTCTATATTGCAACCTCCCATTCTTATCCTTTTTACCTAACTTTTTGTACCTAATGTTTTATCAACTTGTATGTTTGCCCTTTTTATTATATTCCTTTCTTTTTTTATATATATTTATTTACCGTACGTCAGTATGGTCATATTAAATATGCTCTAACATATCAGYTTAAGCTTTTAGGTCTAGTGAGAATAATTAAACGGAGAAGATCATCTTGTGGTGTTTCAATTATATTAGTATTGAGGTAATTGCACAAATAGCATAAAATAAATATGTATTTACAAATATAGCAGATAACTTAAAATTTTATAAAAATAACATAGTACATATCAAACTCAAATATAAAGGTAAARCAACTGTAGAAAGAAAAGTCAAATTTATGCTATATTTGAAAAAATAAATCATTTGTCTCGTGAGAAATTAATTTCATAGTGGTGGATGTAGATATATGTTAATTACCACTGAACTATGTTCGCTTTGACAGTAATATAATTCAATTAACTATTTTTTAGACGTATGTATACTTTTGTATTTACTATATTTTGATTATTAGATGCGTAATACTTATGACATGTTTGAACTYGAATCGATTTCTTGCATTCTTCAAATTTGTTTAAGTTTAATTTGGGACGGCTTTAAATATTAAAAAGGTTTATTTCACATGTATATAAAAGAGTGACCAAAAATCTATTTTTGAGGTTAATTAAGTTAACCAAACCCTAAAGGAATCCATGTGATGAGACGCTTAAACTCTAAGAGGAAAAGGAAGTAGAAAACGATCATGTCAATAGAGACTATAACATATAAGATTTGTAAAGTTAATCGAAAAAATAAATTTGGAGGTACATTAAAGTTCTAGTGTGATGTAATGTTAAAATTTTCATAAAACATATTACAACTTTACCCTTACACCTCAAATAATAACAAGACACAACAATTAACACTTCATCGTACAAATAATACCAACACTACTATCATCATCGTCTGTAAAACACGAATGACGAACAACCGAACCACAACGACTACGATACCGACGTGTGAGTGTTCTAATAAAGGAAGATAATGAATGAGAGAAGGGTGTGCGGGAATACGATCGATAGTACTCTTTCTCGACACACGTGATGACATGTTAAAACGAGTGGACGTGAGTGTAGGGGATCACATGGGGGTGGGAGAGACTTTTTGCTTAAAATTGAAGAATGCAAGAGTTAGGCTCACGTCGGCTTCTCATCTCAAGGTTGCATGGCCATGCACGAGAATGGGAATAATATGAATTTTATTTATCTAAAGATGAAAGGGGAAAATAAAGCAAGAAAATTATTATTTATGGGTTTGTTTTTCTCTCTCTTTACGTGTCAATTTCTTGTGGCTTTAGTTTGGTAAACAATTATAGAGCTTCATTTAATTAAAAAAAAAAGGCGAAAATGGAATCTCTTCATAATGGAGAAATTGGTTGTATATCTTGACAGAGAGATTTAATTATAAGAGAGAAATTGAGCATATAGTTAAAATTATCAGGGTATGGATGTAATATTTTTTTCAAAAAAATAATAATAATATATATATATATATATACACGTACTTCAATAACTCGTCTAATGGATTACAGCTCTAATTTTATTTCCGTTATTTTATAATATAATGTTTTAAAAATATAAATATATGAGAGAGAACGGTAGGGTTAGATAATCATATATAAAATTAAAGACGATAGAAAGTACATTTATTCATTAACCTTTAGAGTAGCGATCTTGATGTCTCTATCTTGACCAACCCTTCTGCTTTCTCAAAAATAGATTGCCAACTTGGGCAAGAATGATGAAGATAAATTTTCTTCCTTAACCTCTACGAAATTGACTAAATATTTCACTATAATGACGTTGATAGTTTGATGGAAAAACACAAGTCGAGATTCAAATCTCTCTGTAACTACCAGTCATATGCAATACTTTGTGAATTAAGTTTAACAACATGTGCAGGGGTGGGGATTTAAATCTTCGATATTTTAGTCAATGATATATATATATATATATTTATATATATATATATATATTAACCAATTGAGTAATACTGATCTAAATAAAAATGACAAGCTGAAACAAATCAAAATACACCAAATTTTACTATACAACAAATTAACACAATATAGCTAATATATATTACGAGTCATGATAAAAGAGTTATACATCAAGGGGAAAATGATACTCATTTTTCACTATATATATAATATATAATGAAATATTGCAAATTCTAAACACAAAAGCCATATATATGCTTTAGTCTAATTATATAAAATGGAAAAATACATAAGTATTTTCCAAACTATATAGACAACCCTAACGATATCTTGAACCAAAACAATGAAATATTTTAAGTTCAAAAATATCATCCAATTCTTTATTACTTTTTTGTGTTTTTTTTTTCTTTCTATTCAGCGTTGAGAAGTTGCATAGACCAGAGATCCTCCATGCTCCAATAATTTTCATTGGAATTATCAGTTGGGGGCAAAGGYACTGTGAAAGCATCAAGATTATTATTTGGAGGAGAAGAATAGGTTTCCATTGGATCCATTGTGTAAGAAATTTGGCAGCTACTTGAGCTTGCTGCTTGTTCACTCATTTGATTATGGTCATGACATATTCCACTTGCTGTGCTACTTTGGAAGCTATGTGCTTGCTTGATGTGCTTCTGGATTCTCGTCCTCCAGTAGTTCTTTATCTCGTTATCCGTCCTCCCCGGCAGATGCTTTGCAATTTTCGACCACCTGTGCCATATATATATTCAACACTGAACGAGCATATAGAGAATAATCGAGCAAAACAAAGGCACACATCACTCCTGAGATTAGTAATGCTGAGTGCTAAAACGTATACCAGAACTATATTGGAACCTCACGTATAAAAATGTATAAAAACAGTAACAAATCCGTAGGTTGAGAATCCATATAAATAAATTAAAATTTACTCAACCCATCAGCTTAACCAATATTTTGAGAGAAATTTAAGAAAACAATATGGTTTTTGGAAAAGAAAACGTAAATCCTAGTTAAATTAACCACATAGAAAGGAAGAAAACTATAGGTTAAGAATTCTATGGAGTATATATATAATTGAAGAGAAATATTTACAAACTAAAAGTGGAAAAGGAAGAGGTGAAAATTAAAATCAATGATAATTAATTATATATTTAATGAATGAGTAAAAATATAGGAGGATAGAACAATATTAACAATTCCTAATTTTCAGAGCTTGGAAATAAGCTGTCATTCATAATATAATAATTATAGTAAAAATATAGGAGGAAAAACCAAGCATGACAAGAAGAACAATCAACAACCAAGAGACAAGAATAGATAGAAATCAGAAAAAGTGTAATATCATATTTATTTAGATCACATGTTTGAATTGAGGTAAAATGAAATGCATTTAGAGCCATGAAAA